GTCCATATTTATTTAACACAGAGAAATTTATTACTCAATTCACAACAACAGAAAAAAATGATAGGTCACCATACTCGTTTGCGAGAAAATGACGATTTACCACTATGGCGACGTCCAGCTGTAAAGAAAAAGCCGCCATTTTTTAATGCGCGCGCTAATCACGCGTGACATTATGCGCAGTAGGGATGCGCATTGCAATACTGGGGAATAACCTTAAATAGCAATTAAAACTCAATGACAGATGTTTCTGTAAGGCCGCCATGTTGGTGCCCCTCAGAGGGGGCGTCTTTATACAAAACCGACAGATTACGATCCTATCATATTCTCTCGACAAAACTCTTTAAATTTAGGTTGAACACTTCTCCCAATAACGCGCGAATCAAAAACCGCACAGACCTAAATCTTGGCGAAGTTGTATATATCAATGATCTACCATAAGGACCATATTCCAGATTCTTGACTTATTTATTGATCATGAAAAGTTACAATTTTTATTTTTAAAATCGCGACAGTGTGAACCAGCAAGCTTGCCCGATCTGGATCCCACAAGAAAATACATATCTTTTGTTCATATAATAAATGCTTGATTGACCAAACTTGTTCGATAGCTGGACACTAGTAGCTCCGTTCGTTTTTGCTTGTTTATGAACCTCGACTCCGTCTCTGCCCATAAACACGCAACAAAAGAACTTGGTCAATAACTCATAAATAACACATGAGATCATCATTTTTATGTCAAGATCATCTGATACTGAAGCACAGAGTATTGAGCAACCCTGCTTCTTAGTGAGAAAAGAAAGCTTTTCATTTGTTGATCATGTGCCAGTCTAAGACTGTTTCTTTTCCCGTTTCTTTTGTTTCATTTTGTTTGTTATGTTTTGTAGAATTGCAACCTGTATTTACAGCAGAACCTTCAAATCCATTTCCTGTTCTGGAAGGTAACAACATCACTTTGGAATGGAGCTACGATCTTAGAGGCGGAACGTTCAGACGTGCTGAGTTTGAAGAGGTTATAGCTTCTGGCACAGTCCTGATTGCAGACGTCGTCGGTAGCCTAGGCCAGACACCATCACACTTGAGAGACAAATACAAAGGTCGATTACAACTGAATGTAACAGCTACACAAACATCTATTACGATCCTCGAAGCGAACAGAACAGTCGACAGTAAAAATTATCAGTTTAAAGTTGTCCCAACTACCGCCCCTATCACCAGTGCAGTGAGGATTTCAGTGCAGTGTAAGTGAAAATAATACTCATTCTTTACCTTATTAGTGTTACATAATGTGAGAAAAGTTTTCAAGAATAATCTTGAGACATATTTACTCCTCATAATCAGTACAGTGACGATTTCAGTGCAGTGTAAGTGAAAATCATGCTTAAAGTTATTTACTCTTTTAGTCAGGAACGCCACGATTGGGTCCCGACGTTTATGAAATATTGTTACACATACAACTTAACAACAATGGACTTAGAAAACTAATTGCAATCGTCAGGGCACTGTTTAGCTCAGTTTGTCCGAATCAGTAGAGAAGCACAACAACAGAGTCATCACCAACAACAGTAAAACTCAAACCTTCCTATGGAAGATAGCCTGTGAACGCAAACGTATTTCTGGCTGTCACTTGGTTCAGCCGAACATAACGTCTAAGAACCTGAACGAGAGATTGATTTCAGTGACGTCAAAACTTTTGTTTTGTTCTTGACCAGTAAAATTCCCCGATCGAATATGACAGGTGCAGCGACGCTGACGACGGGTACCGGGAAGCGGCCATAATTTTAGAATTTGAAATTTGTTTGCATTGAGCGCTGGTGAAATACCGAAGAAGATCTCAACCTCCGAGGTTTGTTTGCTATGGACGAAAGCGTTTCAAGTGAAGAGAAGAAAAAATGTTTGGAACAAGTACCATGGATTCTGCGTGCAATTAAAGGAATTCGATCTGTCTGTTTGGGACGGGAGCGATCTTGCCGCCGGCGTTTGCTACTCCAAATTTTTTTTTTTTAATTTTATTTTATTTTATTGATAAAAACATATTACAATATTGCAACAAATTACAAAAGTAGTGCAGAAAAAAGGGTTGTTACAACTGATAATATTCTAATGAAAAATAGTCGATAATATATACGGTAGTAAATATTACAAA